GGCAACCACATGTGACGACCCCGGGCTGGACTCCGCTTCGTCCACGGTGAAAGCTGATCTGGGGATCTGCAGCACAAAGTTGTTGTATTTCCTCAGTAACCAGCACGGATCAGCTCCAGGCATGACGAAGCAGATATTGTCCTCTTTTGGAAGGCCAAACAAAGTAGTTTCGCTTTCACAACGAAACACAGCGCCTTCACGACATGGCGGTGGCAACAATACTACAGCGAGAATAAAAGTTACGCCTTCTTTCTTTGCGTGAACATTTGGGCGGCGTTATGCAAATCTTCCCACATAGTGAAGTAGATATGTGGGGGCGTGTTAGAACGAGCCGTTTTAGGTAGGCGTGGCTGACTCTTAACTTTTATAAAGAATATCTCTTTGGATTTGAGACTAGTCTTTGCAACTTGAAAAATTGAAATCGCATCATATGACCCCTTTAAGATGGTGGCTAAGTTTATGCAACTGGCCCCTGTATGGCCCATGAGGAATGATCTGCTAGATGTGCTCACCGATTCAAGGAGTGAGTGACGGCTGATTTTCAGGCAGGTTTTAGTGCGAGGTCTCTTGGAGTGAATGTGTCTCAGCTCCCGCTGAAAAAAGTTCACTTTATCCTGAAATGTTTCTGATCCACCTAGAAGATGCAAACACACACAAAACAAAAAACAAAACACAAATCAAACACAACAATATATCTACATTTGATTGTATTTACGGCACACTGCCACTCATACTAACCAATATTCTTGTGGAGAAAGCGGATAAAGGTTGCAGCCATGATATTTCTGTCCTTACAGCTGAGCTCTACGGGAGGCTGAATCCCATCATCTACTACCAGTGTTAGGTATCTATGAACAGGGTCTGGTCCATGGTAAGTGAACTGCCAGAATTAAAACAAAAAGAAAAATATATATTCTTGAATAAAATAACAGCTTTTGCAGTCAGCAAAAGAATAGTGTTTTTGGTAAAATGGTTCAGAAAATAAGGTAGTCTGAAAAAAAGATAACCTTAGTTCCAGGACACACACGGAAAGTGAAAAGGCGCCAAGGGATAATTTTCAGGTAAAACTCCTTCACGGAAAATTGCTGAAACACAACAAGTCAGTATTTAAATGAACAAAGAACCAATATTAACAAACCAATTTAACCACACAAACGTAGCATTAACCCATTTAAAATCAATTTTACCTTTGGTGAGATATAGCAATACACCTTTTTTGGTTTTTTGACCTTCTCTGACTGCCCCTCTACAGGGGAGTCATGTTCCTCCTCATCATCACCCATGGAGGGCCGTCTCTGCAGGGCTAGCTGGGAGGATGCTAGAAACTGCCAAGGACAACTACTGTAAGTGCCCATGCTGTAGAGGTAGGCCTCAAAGTAGATGCTTATGCCAGGGGTAGATACGTTTTTCTCCACACAGTTCTTCTCATTTTCTGTGTGAGTGCATAATGGTGAAAAGACATTGAGAAAAGGTTACAGCAATGTGCTTCCACTATTCTGGATGTTATGTATTCAATCTGCTGTGTTCTGTCATTGTTGCCCTTACAATTACATTGAAGAGAACAACAAAGTTCTCACACTTTGATCACTAAAACTCCATGACTTCTCATTTCCACTCATTTATGATTATAGAGGCAAATGTTAATTTGCATATTACTGATCCTTGGAATTAACTGATTTTAAAGATTATTGTACAAATGCAATAAATAAATAAATTAATTAATTGTCAGCAATGTGTGCCCAGCATTAGCATGCTAAATATCTGGACCTGTTGCCGAATCAGAGTCCTGCAGTGTGAAATGTGTTACTGCTACAGCCAATGAAAGAGCATAAGATACAGGGCATGGGAAAGTTCGGGGGGTAGAGTCAGATCTGTAGAGAAACATCAGCATGCATGGCTTCTGCAAGCAACCATCTTCTTCATTTTTTTTTCTTTTTTCTTTTTCACTGCAAACCAGTGTACAAACAACTTGTATTGTTAGCTTCTTGCGGGCTACAATTTCTAACAGGAAGAAATACAGTCTTATATTTTTCCTAAGTACTGTAGATCCATAATTGGTCCAGTTCTAGTGAGAACTGTCTGTGATCTTACATTATTTCCTGCATCACTTCTCGCATGTGTTTGGTTGTGAAACAGTTTGTAGATCAGACAGAATTGTCAGCGATTCTTCCTATTGACATGTTGGGTGACCCCTTGTCTCAGATTCATCCTGAAAACACGATGAGAGTATCTGAAGAAGCCCTGGGTTACATTAATGGTAGCTTTACTGACTGGCAACAGAACTGCCTGTTCAGGTATTGGTTCAAGTCTGTTGAACACCACTGAAACAGACTGGGCCAAAACCTTGAATCAGTCAGGTTTAATATTAGGTATTCAAGTTTTACACAAAGCTTTCATAAAAAAAAATTGCAAAACCTAGGTGTGGGTTGTGGGTTGTGGCCAGACAAGAACAGGCAGAACCTTGTAGGGATTAATCTGAATATGGCCATTCGGAGCAATACATTTTAGCACTGGCAATACTAGATATTCATTCAGTACTATATATTGATGATTTGAGAAACATATTAAGACTTTTCTGAGAATGTATGTTCAATACAGTTGTATTTTGTCTGCACTGGCAGATTTGTTATTGTCACTTGTTTTACATTTAGTTTCACCAAATTACCTAAGTTGCACGTCTTTCGAAAAATTGTGATTTAATGTAATGGAAAAGTTAAGCAAATTATTTTTGAAAATTTCTCTTTTCTTTTCTTGTTTTACTTTTATCCAGTAAACACAATGGAAAATTCATGGAATTTGGTGACAAGGTGATCCTTGAGTTTTACCATGTTGGTAAAAAGTCTCTACAACAACCTCTCCAATGCCAGGATTAACTCACCGCTGAGTACAATGATGTCAAACTCCCCATTGCTAAGGGGCTGGTCCCTGTATGAGATGCATGCTCTGAAGCAGCCTTTTTTCCTGAAGGTAAGCCTCATCAGAACTTGGCACTGTGGCTTGTTTGATGATACCGATGTGCTGTAGCAATCATCTAAGCTCTCCTCATCCACTGTGCCCAACTGTAGGAACAGTAAGAAAAAGAGATCTGAATGGAAACTCAACTAATTCTGCTGGACCTGAAACCCCTTTAATGCTAAGACCTATATCCAAACTTTGAAAGCTTGAATAAAAAAAACTCTGGGTATGCAGTAAGTGTTCTTACTGGGTGGACATGCATGCTGTAATTGACCTCATCCACAAGTGAGACAGAGTTACTGGTGGGGTTGCCATACTCATCCCGTGGTTCTATCTGCAGTGTGTGCTGCTGGCCGTAAGTCAGAACCAGTGTTGAGAAGTGATACGCTATCTTTGTTTTGGATGGGACCACTGTACCTGCAACACATGCAATTCATGTCATTTGTCATCAGCATCTTTTCATTTTACTACAAAAGAAAGTTTTTCTAAATGCACAGCTTAATGTAAGCTTAAATGCAACAACATATTACCAGATAATTATTTTATATTACTAACAAAAAAAGTATTAAAAAAAGGAAAACTGGCAAAGGATATGCTGGTTCTTTTCGTGGCCCTTATTAAAGACTTTCTATACTGTAGTGCGAGCCTGTTTTTTTAGAGACTGCAAGCATACATACATATTTTAACTTGCACTGGAAGACAAAGTTGTTTGGACAGCAGAATGTTTCAAAATAATGATATAATAATGATTTATTTCAGTAAATAATTACTATAAAAAAAACAGTTCTGCTGTATTTCATACTTGTAAATTAAACTGAAATGTTTTTGCCTCCTTTCATCAAACTATCTTGCAAGTCTTTGACAGTAAATCGAGGGGTTTTACTCAGTTGCTCTAATCAAACATTTTATTCTCCTTGATGATTTTGTGCCTTTTCTTCAACACCCTCAAAGCTTTTCTGGTACAGCATATTTTAAACTTATGAACAAGGCTGTCAGCTGTGTCTCGAGGAACTTTAAGTGTTTTGTAAATTGTCTTGCAGCCATAGATTTTCTAATGTAATAATGTATGTTCTCTATAGCTCCAGCTTTTGTGAGAGGTCTTTTGACTTGGCCTGATTTCTACTTAACTTCAGCACATGCACTGGCTAAATGTATGTATGTGTAACAGCTCAAGTTTATTCAGTTTTGTTACAGTGTTTCCAAAGGCTTAATTGTGTTTTAACACAATTTTGTACAATACTACTTAAATAAGTGACTTATATTAAATAAGTATTAAATAAGTGTTATATAATTATTACATAGCTGTATTACTTAAAAACACTACATTTATATATTGACATTATCACTTTTAATTTGCCACTAAACTGTTATACAGTCATGGCCAAAAGTTTTGGCAGTGACATAAATTTTGTGTTTTGCAAAGTTTGCTGCTTAAGCTGTTGTGGTGTTCATTCACATTGCTTCTAGATTATTGTGTAGAGTGCCATTTACCAGATCATCAAGAACTTCAAGGAGAGAGGTTTGACTGCAGTGAAAAAATCTTCAGGACGTCCCAGAGTGTCCAGCAAGCGCCAGGACAGTCTCCTCCTGAGGAGTTAGCTACGGAATCGTGTCTCCAGCAGTGCAGAGCTTGCTCAGGAATGAAAGCAGGTTGGAGTGAGAGAGGCCAAGAATTTTGGACAACGGCCTGGTGTCAAGAAGGGCAGCAAAGAAGCCAATTCTCTCCAAGAAAAACGTCAAGGACAGACTAAAATTCTGCAGGAAGTACAAGGATTGGACCACAGAAGACTGGTGCAAAGTGATTTTTTCTTATGAAGCTCCCTTCCGACTGTTTGGGACATCTGGAAAATTGATTCCAAAAACACTGCCATGAATAAAAAATGGTATCAAAACGTCCGGCAAGAGTGACTTCTTCCAACAATCCATGAGAAATTTGGTGATGATACGTGTATTTTCCAGCATGATGGAGCACCATGTCACAAAGCAAGAGTGATAAAGAAGTGGCTCGAAGATCATTACATTGAAATTTTGGATCCGTGGCCAGGCAACTCCCCGGATCTCAATCCTATAGAGAACCTGTGGTCAGTCCTCAAAAGGC